AGACTGCACCCATTGGCTTGTTTCGTATGAAGCAAACAAGTTTACTGAACCTCTCCACAATGATTTTCCCGGATATGCGAATTTATTTTGCAAACTCGGTCAATGGATTCTTGAACCTTTCCCTCCAGATTGGGAACTGCCAACGATAGTATGCCACTGACCAGTGCCTTACTTTTAACGTACCATTGTACAATGAATATGAGTATTTCGACAACACACCTAACATAAGCCTTACCGTCAAGAAGGTGAACTCGCGTTCTTCGCACACTGTAGACAAGGGCAAAGAGATAAAAATGGATCTAAATCCGAATAAAATCAGCACACGTTTCCGTAAATGAAAGGGTGAGCATAAGCAAATGAATCGAAGGAAACCGGTCAACTCAGAGATCATCTGTCATCGAGTATTCCGTAAAAGGAGGCCTCGGCAGCGGAAAAGCTAAATTAATTATTTAGAAAAGAGATCCTGTCAGCTTTTCCATTATTTATTGCATTCCGCCCAAAATCAGCACACTTTTCGTAAATGAAAGAGTCAACACAAGCAAATGAATCAAAGGGAACTGGTCAACTTACCTGTCATTGAGTAATATTCTGCGAAAGGTCTCAGCAGCGCCGAAACGAAATAAGCCAGGCCAGGAGACGAAATATCCGAAACAGCTCATACAAGAAGCAGTTCCAAAGGAGAAAGTTCCTCGCGCATGCACATCCAAACACGGACATGCGCTGCAACACAATGTCTGCCGTGCACGTGCACAGCACGCGGCTACCACTCGTTGGTAGATCTAATACCGAGCACCTTACGTAGAGACTTACGTAGCCTAAGTGAAATACCGAGCACCTTACGTAGAAACTTACGTAGCATAGCGGTGTCGTTTTTCTTGCCATGTGAACACAAGAATAGAAAAGCTGACAGGATCGCTTTTCTAAATGTACATGTATCTGTAGTACTTGTATCATAGCATTACATGAAATTAGTCTGTGTAGGTGTGTTGAGTAGGGGGGGGGGGGGGGGTGCGACTTTTAGTGTCATAGCCATACGGTAGGCGTTGGTACGCATATTACTATACTGTATACAATCATGTACAGTAAAACCTGTCAAGGCGACCACTCGGATAAGGCGACCACCTGTCCTGGAAGACCACTGAAACCAGGACCAAGGGATGCTATTTGAAGTATTTCCAGTCAAATGACCCTGGATAAGGAGAGTAGACCACGTTTTCAAGGTCCCTTGAGCGGTCGTCTTAGACAGGTTTCACTGTACTTTATACTGTAACATAATTATATGTACACTGTAGTAGATGGGTGTTTGGGGCATTCTCCATGGACCGCCGCCATTTCCACGGACAGCTAGAATTGTACTTCGCACATGCATCATGATGGACTCACTCGTCTTGGCTTTAGAGTTTGGGTCAGAAAGTGCATCATCCGATGCATCTCATCACTAGTACCAGTAGAGGAACAAACTACATGTACAATCATGGTACAATGAGAGGCGACGCCCCCTTCTACTCCGACTCTCAGTCTGAGTCCCTGTCTTGACCTGTACCGTCCGTGAGGCTAGAGTAAGGTCCAAAGCTGCAGGGGAGCGAATGGGGAAATCCCTGCATGAAATGCCACACGCCAGTGCTTTCTCCCGCCGCCTTGATCTGTTGTGTTGATCGAAGTCACCGTTGCGAGCCCTACTGGCCCCCGGCCCGGTGGCCCGAACTGCAAAGACTGTCAACTACTGAACTAGTAAATTGTCTAGTATTAGTATTACTTATTCATTGATTCCGTGCCTTTCTTGTGATTATTTCCCGTTGAATGGGTGATGCCATGTCTGGCACGAAAACTCGAAAAGCCGTTGTTGTGAAAAGAGCGGGCGCTAGTGCTCCATCTGTATGATTAATCATGTCACAAGACTGTAGGCACGGAGATGACCAATCGCATTGCACCTACAATTATGTAGCACGGCCTACGTGTACATGTAGATGAGGCGATCAAGGTAGTAGTAGTAGTAGTAGATTTTATTATTTTACTAGGGGAGTCCCAACAGGCGTTGCCTTTTTACTGGGACCCCTAGGTGAATTTTTACCATGTTTACATACAGAGTAAGAGACGGGGCCTGTGAGTGACGGCAGTCAGTGGGAAGAGCATTCCATCTGTCTGCCGCCAGGAAAGAAATAGAACGCATGCCATATTGCGTAGAAACAGGCAAGGCATGCTAGAACTCCATTATAATTATAGCGGAGCGGGCTTTGATTTTACGATCAAAGCCCGCTCCACTACTACTAGCACTAGGGCTTTGATTTACTGATCAAGATTGCGGGTCGGTGAAAACAGAAGACAATGTCCTCACCAAGCGCTGCATCCTGTCATTTGGCTGCTTTCGAGGTCGATGTCTGGACTGCTGAAAATCGAACGCGATCCGCGGATCAGGAATGATCTGCTATCACTTCAGTTACGGTCTGAGACTGTGAGTTCTCGACGCGAAAGGCCCTATGATGTAGGCTACAGTCGGCTGAAAGCTTTGCCCTGTCCAACACGGACGCACACGCGCGCCGCTGGCATTGTTAGAACATGTCGAGTCTATTTCGTCCCTGGTTGCTCTGAACAATGCTCTGTGGAAGCGAAATTGAGATGTGAGAATGTTTGAAGCCTATGCTCGAGATCCTTTCGGAAGTATTCCTTGCTCCTTGCTGTTTTCGTGTGCGGGTTAGGATCATTAGCCTATGATTAGAATCGCGTGTGTACACAGTTATGTACAGTCATGTACACTAAAATAAGACATTTTGCGGTTGGGTGAAAATCACATGTGCACAGTCGGTCGGGTGACCCGAAACAACGAATTAATTCTGGGTGGCCCAAGTTTATAATAATTATTATTTCTACTGCCTATATGTTTTTCGATTTTGACAGCATGTTACAAGGCGAGGACGCGTAGTGCTCCTGACTACAACCATAAACCGGTTGGCAGAGTCCCGGTCTTGCGACCATTTGAACCGTATTAGACTGTGAGCCAAGTGCATGAATTCATGATTTTCGTTCCCACTTTGGGTGTACCGCGATTTTGTTCTTTTAGCATGTGGGGAGACCTAATAGAAGATCATTTTTGATTGTTGTCAGTTTGGGAAGCTTGCAGGGAAGTCAAAATAAGCAATTATCTTAACATACCCCGTTTCCATAGCAACTACATAGCAACTGACATAGCAACATGCTATTTTGAAGGTGTTTCTTACTTTTTTCAGCAGGCAACGGCACTGGACGAAGAAATGTATATCAAGCGTCATTGCAGCTGGGCTAAAATAACTATACGAGCCAAAAATTATAGAATTACAAGTACGCATAAGTGCATTGTATAAAGTACGTGCACATTTTAAATATTACTCGAAGTGGCGATGCACTGGTAGGTAAGTGCACATGAAATGGTGCCGACAACCACGAAATGCATTTCAGGAATGATAATGTACAGAACAAACAGGTGGCATTCAATATACAAAGCCCAGCAGCAGCGAATTCTCCAGACAACGGTTGGAAAAGACCATCAACAACAGCCAGGAGAATCTGGTTTAATCCGGTGCAATGCTCATTTCACCCTCTACATCTCTATAATATATACATGTACAGTATGGCAGAACAATGTTAAAGAAGTTGCTGGATACAGGATTTGTATATTTGCACTCATATAACTGATCAATGTAACGTTACTTCGTAAGTACTGCTGTATTGCTTCCTAACTTATAAGTGCAAAGGGTAGAGCAATGACCGTAACCAGTAACGTTAGAGGACCACAGGGGTATACCGGCAGATACAAATCTGTAGTTTATTTGAACTATAATAATAATTATTTTGAAACATTACCCATTGTATGTACAGAACACAAGCGGAAAGATACATGCATATTCATGTTAATCATAGTCTGAAGCACTTCAGTAATAAAAGATCGAAACAGTTATTAGCTCTCCGGAGATAAGGTACATTGTACGTTCTACATGTATTTCTGCTCCAACACTGATTACAAAAACCTTTAGTTTAGCTTGACTGATCAGCAGCAAGCATGCTAGCACACTGATATGATGGACATGATGATGTTCGTACTGCCGCTGCGCTGCACTAGCACTGCACACAATACTATAGAAACCACGAAAAAACATCATCATGATGCGGCTGGGTTTGCACCACCGTACATTTTTGCGAGGTCAGTGGTGCAACAGAAGTCCGCTCCAGCTCTTGTGACCTTGGTTCTTGTCGATGGCGGCTATTGATTTGGCCAAAGTAGTTTCTCCCTTCTATTTGGGCATGTTCGTGCCTGATTTGGAAGTGACAACAAGCTGAATTTGTATCTAGTCGAGTAGATGAAACGAACTGGGGAAAAAAATTGCGGTACGCTCAAGGTCGGAACGAAAAATAATTCTAACAGGATTTTTGGTGCCTGGCTCACAGTCTATATTGGGAAAACCCAGGTTCGGACCCTCGTTACTCTACGGGTTGGTAGGATTTTTATAATTTTCGTTTTTTTGTGTTGTAGAAGTCGTCGTGTTGCCGCCGTAGTATTGTTCACGTTGCTGCCGCTGCAGGGATCACGTCTGGAAGGATTTGTGATGTTATTTTCTTGTCTTCCTCTGTAATTAAATTATTTGTGATTTATATTTCTTTCTTCTTTTGTTCTTTTGTTCTTTTTCTTTTTTCTTGTCTTTTTTCAACTTCTGCCCATGGCGTCCTTCTCTCAGCTCGTCAGCTGTAACAGTCATAGTCATCACCATGACGACTGTTGTGAGAAGGTGCTCGCTGCCGACGAGGTTGGTGATGTCCCGACGAGGCCATGGGTAGGCCTTCACCACGTCGGAACACCCCGTCTGCACGTTGGTGTTGTGGTCTGGGTGTTGATGGACGCCGATGTTGTTGTAATAGTTGTTGTCGTTGTAATTGTACGCGTCCTCGCCTTGTAACATGCTGTCAAAATCGAAAAACATGTTAACTACCAAGCAAGGCTTCTGTATATGCCTATATGTTGTACGTACGTACAGGGTCCCTGTGACGATCCAGCAAAGAAGATTGTTCACGAATTCGCCCATTTGCAGTGGGGAATCGGTGACGAGTACAAAAGGAGCGATGCAAGCGAGCCAAAGTGCCCAGAAGGGAAAGAGAACACTGCGGATAGCAGGGGCGTCTCCATCATGGCTTCGACGAAGGATCCCGTAAGTCAAGGTTGTACAAATCTTGCAGCTGTACTTTGCATGTATTACAATGCTAGGGCTTTGAAGTCAGATATTGCCAAGAGTCCGTAACATGATCTCTTGTGCCAGTTGTGGACTCCATTTACCCTCACTACATCATTTTCGGTTCCTTACACATACATGTGATGTACACTGCATCAGTGCAGGGTCCGACTGAAACTCTGGACCAGTGGTATACACGTATGTCAGCAACACGCTTGAATAAGGTATTGCGGACCGATTCTCACCTTTTTTCCGGGCTGTTCTCTTCAAACTTTCTGCAGGCGCAATTCTTCTGTGATAACCTAGCCAGAGGAGACCATGCAAGCAGCGGTGTCCTGCACAATTCCAATGCTGATACCAATCACAATGAACTGTGCCAAGGTAGAAGTGCTTGGGAAGTTCTCCGCCAGTACCAGAACTTCAGTAACTCACACACGAGGAAGCACAACGCCACACTGGTACCTGCCTTTCGGGTGAGTCAAAGATTGTTAGTATTTCTCCAGCACTATCAACACGGCGAATAATCCATTTGTTTACTTGAAATGCTGGTTAATGCGCTATTTGTTTCGTTCTTTCTAAATGCTGTGGAACAATTACAACTATGTTGATTGCTTGAAATAGTGCATATTGTGAGCGATGAGATGATCACTTCTGGTCACTAATGATTATGTATTACAGTAGGCTCATGGTCTTCACTGTTTTCTTTTTCATTCCCAGTACGCCATCGAATGCACCGGTGAGCTGAATGTGTTCATCGTCGACGTAACAAAGAATGCCAGCACCAAAACGCCAGTCAAAAAGTTCTTAGGACGTGCCTCACGACATGTTGTAGAGTCTTTCAGCAAATCAACATCCAACTATGCCCATGCAGCCATCATCACGTATGACAGCAGCGGCAAAACTGATATCATCGCACAGTCACCAAAGATTGTTGTTGCAAACTTGCAAGGGAAGATGCAGCTGATCAACAGTATACGTCAGCTCCGACATGGAGTGAACTCAGTGAATGCTGCATCACTGGATGCGGCTCTTACGCTTGCCTTGCGCCTGATGAATCATGTCACAAGGGTGAACAAGGCAATGTATGAATCATCCACATCGCAAGCTATCGTCATCAGCCAGAATCCACAGCTGCCCAAGTCAACTCTATGCCTAAGTAACATACAAGTCCTGTTCTTTGGCTCATCTCAACCCATCAGTGAACAGAATTATACCTGCAAGTATTCCCGGATAAGCCGGATCTGTCGCCAGATCCATCGCCTGGCACATTATTCCCGCCACACTGCCAGTTGCACAAGAACAGTATTCGGAGCGTCCACCTATATACCCCAATCGCAAGACACAAGAACAATCACGGGCAACATCAAGCTGAATGCAATGGCTGGAAGTTCTGCTGTTGCAGATCGTATGGACTATTACATAACTGTGAATATTGTTGCACCTGATGATGCGGAATATGGTGGATTCACATCAAGATTTCAATTCCAGTACTTCGATCCCAATGAAGCCGGTCGTAAAATCAACATGACGGTGAATGATCCTTCAAATTTCCGTACATGGCGGAAACAGTTTGAGGTAAGCAGCATGCACGGACAGCTACATGACTTCCTAACCGTGTTTTCTGTCTTTCCTCATCTTTGTGAGGCCACACCGTTTTTTCTATGTTCCGCGTCACCTTATTCGATGAAATCAATGAGGGAGGGCGAATAAAATAAAAAAGCTATCCAAAAAAAAACCCAGTGTACGTGCATTGCATTCGTGTACAGTGGAGCTAAAGTAAAGACCCGGCACTGTACATGTATATGTATAATTATGAATTCTAGTGTTGAAACTATCTCACCGGGTACTCGTTGGCTTGCTCGCCAGAAATTCGGCTCGTTTGTGTGGCCAGCTCGTTTGCACTAACGAACACCTTACTCCGTACACATGGCGATACATATCGACCGCTGAGTCATAAAATATTTTTACGACTCCCTGGTCGAGAGTCCAGTCCCACGCAAAGTGAAAATAACTCGCAGTTTCAGTGACTGTAGCACGACACAGAGTTGTTTCAGTTGTCGTTGCAGCTTTGGTGGACTCCATTGATGTCTTGTTCCGCATCTGCTGATCTGTCGCAGTACATGCTTCTGTCAACTCTCCATTCGAGTGAAAGTTACGCTCAGTCATTTGGAAGTTTCTCCAGCGATGCAGCGAAGAACAGGGCTACTTGCAAAACGATCTATCCTTTACAAAGGCTGCTCAACGACGGCACTAAAACGACATCTCGACACCAAACAGCAACCCGAAGCGAAGCAGCAGCAACCCCAAATGCTGGCAATGATAATTTGAACCAGCTGAGTTTAAAAAAATCGAACTTAGAGAAAAAATATTTAAAAAAATCACATTTGCCACATCAATGAAACTCGTTAGCTCGCTCGATAGCTTGCTCGTTAGTGGAACTGTTCGCTCGTTTGTTATAGATACGCTCGTTTCAACACTAAAATTCACACATGCATACCTGAATACATGAGTGTATTTCAAAGAAGAAAAAGGACCAAGGAACTACAAGTTCCGCTATGATGTCCACTAACACCACCAGTTACTAAACAGTCAGCTCATGCAATAACATTGCACGACACTGACCAACGATACGTTCTACACTAACTGGCTAACAGCTCTAGCATATCTTGGATCCGCATTCCAACAGCCTTCCAACTTGGAAGGTTCTAAGTTATAGAAAAAACATAAGGAGGGGAAGGTAATTATTTCAATACAATGAATGTCTCAAAGTAAGTTTACCGCAGAATGCCATCTCTACTGATTGGTAACAACTGACCAAACTGTGTCAGAATTATCAGCTGGATGGGAAGCCACGCCTCTGCCATGTTTGTGGTCCAAACACAGTCGGCATGATGATTGCGTGACTTGTGGCCCAGCTTACACACACAGGTACATGTACATGTACATGTATGTGAGCTGAGTACAATCATGCAACAAATAGAACAAAATTAATGATGCCAACATAATAGTTACAATGTAACAATCTACGTGGAGATAATAATTTTAATATAGCTATGAATAGGATGAAGGCCGCAGACATCACGCAACTACGTTACTTGTTTGACATGTATTACTGTGTATTTTATAACAAAAATATTATTGAAAACCCAGAATCGATTTTCTCGTTCCTATCATCAGTGGGAAAAACGGAACTAAGGATACAACCAAAGAAACTGAAGTTAAGTACTGTAAATAGAAAGGTGTTAGAAATAACATCAAGATACAAGTGCAATAAAACCACTAGAGGAAACGCAAAAAAGGTAACAAGATTACATAACCAAAGGCGAGAAGGCACTGAACGAAGTGTCAACCTACGAATACAACTTCAGTGCAACAACGTGCTCTTTCTGCTTACACAAAACAGGCTTATGAATCCGTATACAAACTGCCTCAAGGGCTTTCAACTGTTGGACATAACGCGCACGACACAGTACAGAAAAATGAGAGTCATCATACACACCAAGACAGTCAGAACGAGATAACAAGTGTAGATACACAGCTGACTTCTTACGATCAACACATTCATCCGCCTCATCTCGCTCCTTCCCACCCGACTCCTCCTCGTCCATCTCATCGTCCTCTTCCTCGTTCCGCTCGTCATCCTCACGATCATCATCACCACCATCATCTGCCTCGTTCTCTGTCTCCTCACCAACCGTTTCGTCATCCAATTCCTCTTCCATCCTCTGATCATCCGTCTCATCCTCCGTTTCAGTACAGACCACTTGTCTCCCATTTGCTAGCTGCTCGTCCCGTGAGCGGAGTTGTTCCTCCAGATCCGCTTCACTCACTGACTCATGATACTGCTCGACCCTCCTCCTGTTGGTACTGTCCACAACGCGCAGTCCTTGGCCGTTTCTGGCATAGATCTCTGTGGAGTAGTTTGCTGTTGCCCTCCGAGGTCTCTGGATTAATGTGGGCGGCGTGGCAATTCGTGTGAGAGTTGGTGATGCCAGCAAATGGGAGATAAGTGGTCTGTACTGAAACGGAGGATGAGACGGATGATCAGAGGATGGAAGAGGAATTGGATGACGAAACGGTTGGTGAGGAGACAGAGGACGAGGCAGATGATGGTGGTGATGATGATCGTGAGGATGACGAGCGGAACGAGGAAGAGGACGATGAGATGGACGAGGAGGAGTCGGTAGGGAAGGAGCGAGATGAGGCAGATGAATGTGTTGATCGTAAGAAGTCAGCTGTGTATCTACACTTGTTATCTCGTCCTGACTGTCTTGGTGTGTATGATGATTCTCATTTTTCTGTACCGTGTCGTGCGCGTTATGTCCAACAGTTGAAAGTCCTTGAGGCAGTTTGTATACGGATTCATAAGCCTGTTTTGTGTAAGCAGAAAGAGCACGTTGTTGCACTGAAGTTGTATTCGTAGGTTGACACTTCGTTCAGTGCCTTCTCGCCTTTGGTTATGTAATCTTGTTACCTTTTTTGCGTTTCCTCTAGTGGTTTTATTGCACTTGTATCTTGATGTTATTTCTAACACCTTTCTATTTACAGTACTTAACTTCAGTTTCTTTGGTTGTATCCTTAGTTCCGTTTTTCCCACTGATGATAGGAACGAGAAAATCGATTCTGGGTTTTCAATAATATTTTTGTTATAAAATACACAGTAATACATGTCAAACAAGTAACGTAGTTGCGTGATGTCTGCGGCCTTCATCCTATTCATAGCTATATTAAAATGTAACAATCATGTTCCTTAAACTCCGGCTGTGAAATACACGCGCGCGGGGGACGCAAAACATAACTTAGACAAAAAACGGTGTGGCCTAAGAACTTGTCAATAAGGTACCATCACGCATGTGAGATGTGAAATTGTACCTCAAAAGTCATGCATAGAATGTGCACTTAAAGTAATTCCTGGTTTGATCTATGCTCTCGACTCTTTTCTCTCTCGTTAGGCTTCCAGTACCGTTGGAATGATAGCGTTCACCCTGAACATCACTGCAAGTACACCAGGCAGGTACAGGCTTCTTGTCAACGCTACTCCGAAGCCGACGGCATCCAGTACAGTGCCACTAGTCCAGGACGACAACTGGTTCACTGAGATTCCCACCGGCTCCCGTGTCAGCCATACACCATGTGATTGCCTTTAGTCACTCTTTTTAAAACCAAAAGGAGTAACAGTCACTATGAAAAAGCAATGAATAGACTGATTATTTTTAAAACAAACAAATAATAAGAGGACAGAGAAAGTGTTTTAACTCCGAGTTTCACGCACTAAGCTATTTTTACTATGATGGTTGGTGACACGGCTGTCACAAGTTGAGATTTGTATTTGTATGCAGGAATTATGGTGTGAGATGGTCAGAAGTGTGCCCCTTTGAGAGGAGATTATTGGAGATTCTCACTAACATTCTTTTATATCCTTTTATAATGGAAAAAAGGATCTATTCATTTCTATTTTGAATTTGTTGAAAGCATGGCGGGTGTTAGAGGAAACATGAATTATTTATTATTTTCTACCTCGAATATTCCTGATTTATGCGGTGTCCTACCTTCCCTTTATCATAGGGTAGGACTATGCAGATTATCCAGAGGTGTAGTCCTGCTCAATTTCAAGACATATTCTTCTCTCTCTCTTAGTGATGTACTGTGGGATAATGAGGTAACAAACCGGGAGTTTTAGACGGTTTCGCGACCTCAGACCACTAAATTCGAGAGGAGAAAAAGCATTGTTATTCTGGAAGGAGTTCTTGAGTAAATCGTTAGTACGGCGTGCAATGCAAATAAGGCAACGATAAAATATAATGAGAAAAGCAGTGGAAAACAATAAATTTGATTGCCGGGGTCCTGTGACTGAGTGGAGACGCCACATTACTCCCCCACCAGTGAACAAGTCAAACAGCAAAAACTGAGCGGTGAACGGGACAAACAAAAGAGGAAACATAGTGAAAAAACCAAGAAACAGGAAAGAACACGCGAAAGCTGGCAAACGCAAAAAAAAAAAAAAACAAGGCAATTCAGCGCCAGCGATGAGGCGGAAATCACACAAATGCGGGCTTGAGGCGGTCAATGGAGACCGTGTCTGAGCGACCATTGACCTTAATAGTGAAGTATTTCTCAGAGCGAGACAGCACAGGAAACGGCCCATCGTATGGCAACTGTAGCAACTTGCGGACACTGTCCCGACGGATAAAGACGTGCGAGGCCGAAGACAATTCCATTGGTACGAAGACCGGCACAGGATTGCTGCGCTGACTGGTTGGAACGGGACGAAGAGTGGATAAAGCGCTACGCAACTGCTGGATTAATGTGGCCGGTGACATGGGAGTGGTCGGAGGTGCCGCGTCCAGGAATTAGCCTGGAAGACGTAGGGAAGAGCCATAAACCATTTCTGCCACAGAACACTCGAGGTCAGACTTGACAGAGGTACAGATACCAAGCAGGACGAAGGGCAGGTCATTGAACCACTCAGATGGGGCTTGGGTGCCGGAGCGCGCCATCAGGGCACTCTTGAGGTGGCGGTGAAAACGCTCCACTAGGCCGTTGGTAGCCGGGTGATAGGATGTAGTACGCTGGCGAGTGGACCCAAGAAGCTGCATGAGCTCTTGCCAGAGGGACGATTCAAACTGGGCACCGCGGTCGCTGATGATATTGACAGGGACACCAAATCGGGCGATCCAATGCAACAGGAAAGCCCAGGCGACTGTTGGAGTCCTGCTGTCCGGTATTGGCAATGCCTCTGGCCACCGAGAGTAGCGGTCAATACACGTAAGCAAGTATGTGCAACCGGAGCATGATGGTAGAGGGCCAACGAGATCAATGTGGATGACCGAGAACCGTTCGCCAGGAGTCAAGAACCGGGAAGGGCTAGATTTGGTGTGACGGTGAACTTTGGCTTGCTGACAAGCTAAGCAACGGCGGGTGAAGTCGCGGACATCCTTGTGTATACCAGGCCAGAAATAGCTATCAGTGAGGAGACGTACTGATGAGCGAGTACCAGGGTGAGCAAGGTTGTGCAAATGGTTGAAGACAACTTCACGGAGAGATGCAGGTACATACGGACGGAAAGAACCGGTAGAGATGTCACCATGCAGATACGTATCAGGGCTGACGTAGCGACACGACCATTGAATAGAAGTGCCAGGAGATGGGGCAGATCGGAGCTTGACCAAGTCTGGGTCAGATTGCTGAGCATTGGCGAGGGTAGCAAGGTCGATAGCAGGCACCACTGTACAGACGTCGGAGGGCCGAGATAATGCATCTGCAACAGGGTTGGCAGCATCACTGACATGTCGGATGTCGGTGGTAAATTCAGAGATGAAGGCCAAATGACGTAATACCCTCGGGCTGTAGGTTGAAGAATTTGAGGAGAAAGAGAAGCAGAGTGGCTTGTGGTCAGTGAATACGTGAAAACCACGACCCTCTAGCTGGTGCCGGAAATGCTTGATGGCCAAATAGATAGCTAACAATTCCCGGCCGAACGTACTGTAGCGGGTCTCCGCTGGCTTCAGGACTTTGGAAAAGTAGGCCAGGGGCTGTGGATCGCTGCCCACGCTTTGGTGTAATACAGCACCAACGGCATGATCGGAGGCATCCACCATGAGGCTGAGCTCTGCGTCCGGCAGTGGATGATGGAGCTGAGTGGTGGCAGCCAAAGCAGACTTGGCCTCGGCAAATGCATGCATAGCGTTGGCATCGAACACCACAGGAGACAACTTGCCCTTCGGACGGCCTTGGAGGAGAGTGGTCAAAGGTAACAGCAGGGTAGCGCACTGAGGAATAAACCGGCGGTAGAAGTTTACCATTCCCAAGAAACGCTTGAGCTGTGCCATGGTTTGAGGGACCTTGAATGCAGCGATATCGCGGACTTTCTCTGGCAGAGGGTGGAGGCCGTCAGAGTCGATGATGTGGCCGAGGAACTCAAGACGAGAAACACCGAAAACGCACTTGTCGACATTGACAACCAAACCGTGAGCGGCGAGGCGCTGAAGCACTTGCTCAACGTGCTGCTGATGTTCTTCATCAGTCTCACTAGCCACCAAACCATCGTCAACATAGGCATAGGCAAATGGGAGTCCACGGAGAGCTTCATCGATGAGGCGCTGGAACGTCTGGGCAGCGTTTCGAAGGCCAAAAGGCATCCGAAGAAACTCAAATGACCCGAATGGCGTCGTGATGGCCGTTTTCGGGATGTCGTCTGTAGCAACGGGAATCTGGTAATAGGCTTTCTTCAGATCAATCTTGGAGAATATGGTCTTGCCATGCAGAGATGCTGCAAAGTCATGCAGGTGTGGCACCGGGTAGCGATCAGGGATAGTTGCAGCATTCAGAGCCCGATAGTCCCCGCAGGGCCGCCAGTCACCAGAACTCTTGGGCACCATGTGCAGAGCCGAAGACCATGGGCTAGATGAGGGCCGGATAATGCCGAGTTGCAACATATGTTCGAACTCTTGCTTAGCGACTGTGAGACGGTCAGGCGCTAACCGACAAACCTTAGCATGTACCGGGGGACCACGGGTCACAATGTGATGGATCACAGAGTGACGGACCGGTAGCTCCGCATTGCACGGGCCGACAACTGACGGATAGCGGGCAAGCAGTGTAGCATAAGGACAAGCGGTAGGGGTGGGCAGCAGAGAAAGCGGTGCAAGAGACGAGATGCTAGATCGGGAGAGAATGGTGTTGAGGGAGGTGGTGCCATCATACAAACACTCGGCCGACACATTGACGGACAACCCAAAGCGTTTGAGGAAGTCGATACCGATGATTGGCGCCGAGACACTGGCAATGATGAACACCCATTGGAAACGGCGGCGCAAACCAAGGTCGAGAGTGACAGAGCGCTCACCATAAGTTCGGATGGATGTCTGGTTTGCAGCCTGGAGAGGCGGGCCCAGTGGGCGCTGCAGGTCCTCAGCAGAGGGCGGAATACAACTCACGGAAGCGCCAGTGAAAACGCTGTCCCGAGAGTCGGTTGAGGACGAACATCAGACTGCCAGAACCACCGGTCGCCATCAGTGGCTGGCGGATCCGTTTCCCGACGCGTAGGTGCAGGGGGATGTACACTTCGTGGCCTTAGCTCCAAATCTGGCATGATACCAGCACAGGCCAGATTCCCGTCGTGAGAAGCTCTGCGCACGGGAACGGGGTTCGGACAGAGAGTTGGAACGGCTACGTGAAAGCTGGGAAACGGCAGCGCTCAGCTCCGACACCTGGCTGACCAATGTGGCAATAGTGGACTGGATGTCTTGAGATTGCACGGTGGTGGAGTGTCCAGCAGGTTGTACAGCACATGTGGCGGGCATAGATTGATAGCCTATGGGAACAGCGGCGATGGGTGGTTGGGTGGCCATCTCAATAATGTTGTCGGCCAACTTAGCTTGCTGCTCTAATGGCAGATCTCTGGCAGACGCAAGGACCATCCGTACGTTAGATGGTAGCCGTTGGAGAAACAGTTCCCGTAGTAAGTCACTGTCCAGGGGTGTATCGCTCTGGAGGCGTTGCATACTCCGGAGTAACTGTGTCGGCTTGCGGTCGCCCAACTGCTCATCCGTAAGAAGCTGGCGAATCCGCTTCTGTGCACTGGCACTCAGGCGAGCTATCAACTGCGCCCGGAGGTGCGTGTAGGGCTCGACGGTTGGTGGCCTCAACAAAATGTCGCGAACCTCATGCACATACTCTTGCGATAAAGATGAGATTACATAATTGAACTTGGTAAGCTCAGCAGATATGCCACGAGTGGCAAACTGGGCCTCTACCTGGGCGAACCAGAGGTTGGGGTCCGTAGGCCAGAAAGGTGGTAGCTTAATACTGACTGAACTGACCTCCGCGGGTCTGCTGAGTGAAGTACTACCGGTATTCGGTGCTGCAGAACTGTTACTACTACCATTGGCACTGCTACTGCCACTGCCACTGCTACTGCTACTACTGCTGCCACTATTGCTGCCACTGCTGCTGCTACTGCTACTGCCACTGCTACTGCCACTGGCTGCTACTGCCACTGCTGCTGCCACTGGTGTTATCCACACCAGCCTGGGCGGACGCATCAACGTAACCGGGACTACTATCCATTGTGTAAGGAGTACGTGTTACACTGCAATACCAATGTCAATGGACCGTTGAGACAAGAAACACACCGAGCGTCAACTCGAGGAGTGTGCGGTGAGCTAGCGATAGAT